AACTGTTACTTGATTTAAAAAGACGTTATCATGCACTGCTTTTTATGGTCTCCATTGTGTTAATAGATGCCAGGAAAACATCACTTACGGGGTTCAAATAAACACCCCCCAAAAAATCGGCTCGCCGCTTCGCGGCTCGTGGACGATGCTCCGCATCGTCATTATTTTGGTCAACCCCCCCCCCTTAGCAAAAAGCTAGATCCGCCCCTGAGTCATCCCCCCAGGTGTACGAACCTGTCTACGCCACTGCTTGAACATCACATAGACACTTCAAGAAACTGGTGACTAATTCCTGACCCACGTGAATATAGTGTACAAAATACACTTCACAAACCAGAATATCACTTGATCCTCATTGATCAACTTAATTCGTTGAATACTTCCACAATAAATGCAATTAAGGTAGTCCAATCAATTTTATAAAATGTTTTATTAAGCAAACACGAAAATATAATGATATACGAAGGTATGGCAAATCAGATATCACAAATGAAACCATTGTAAACATCGAGTATGAGAACAAGAATAAAGTATCAACACCGTGATACTAGTATAATTAAAACTAACAGATATGTATACAACAATCATGAAAATGGTAGTATAATGAATGGATGTTCTTTAATGTTTTAGACGAGAGAGAATTTTTGAATTGTATAATTCTCTGTTTATACGAGGGAAAGGGAACGGGGAGTAAGAGAGATAGAGAGAGAGAGAGAGAGAGAGAGAGAGAGAGAGAGAGAGAGAGAGAGAGAGAATCAAAGATGTTAAAATCAGACGTTTCGATTGATTGTCCATTTGCTCAAATTTATTATCAAACATCACTCTTCATCAGTTAATGTCTCTTCGACGAGCTCAGTATGCTGTGTTGTTAGCCGACAATAGGGTGCTTTAGTAACGAGACGGAAGGCAAAGAGGACGGGAGAAATCACTCAACCGAGATCAAATAATGTATGCAGTTAAGATTCTGTCTATTGAAATACTATTATTCGTATCAGGTGAATGAAATAATTTGTATTGAGGCACTTCACAGAGACGTATGCATTTAATTTGGTTACATTACGAAAATGGTCTATTGTACGGCGATACAACTCTTCCGTCGAGTTTAGGGAACGAACGCTATTATGGCTGAGACAGGTCGTGAAAATCAACAAGACGGAGACAATTCTGGTTCGCACATGCGCAGATTGATTATTTTGCTCGGTTACCCTCGTCTTTGCCTTCCGTCATTTTCGTAATGTAACCAAATTTAATGCATAAGTCTTTGTGAAGTGCCTCAATACAAATTATTTCATTCACCTGATAAGAATAATAGTATTTCAATAGACAGAATCCGAACTGCATACATTATTTGATCTCGGTTGAGTGAATTCTCCCGTCCTCTTTGCCTTCCGTCTCGTTACTAAAGCGCCCTAATGATCCCTCTGTCCATCACGTCTGACGGGGCTCCTAGAACAAGGTTGAGATTCGGACGAAAATATTGCCTCGTATTAAGCGTCATCTAAAATACAATAAAATAATACAAAATAAAAATAAATAAATAAAAATAAGCAAATAAAGATGAACAAACAAAAAGAAGTTAACTATGCAGTTCTTTCGTCTAACACACAAAGTATTTATTTTTCACATAAAACAATGCAGAATTTAAGCTATATAGGTATACTTACATATTCTACACATCCCCTTCTTTCTCTCTCTCTCTCTCTCTCTCTCTCTTTTTTTTCTCTATTTCTCTCACTTTATCACCCCCTCTCTCTCTCGCTCTATATATCTCCTGCTCTCTCTATATATCGCTCTCTCTAACAACGCTACTTAAACTGTCCTAACAATTAATTTATTCTTCCAAAACATAATTATTATTCGTTTATTGTTATTGTAGAATACATTCATTTAAGATAACTAGGTGTAATATCGACTTACGTTTTATGCACATTACTTCTCCCCTGTATTATCACTACCTAAACCTACAAAGTCAACTCACCGGTGCCGATCAAATGACTCGAATTAGTACAACAGTCTCTGCTCTTTCTGATACCAAATGACTGTCACCGTTTCTTCTATAATGCAGTACAGAATACAGGATAAAGCTGCAACAATCATTTGGTATAGAATACGATTTTACTGCTATTTAACGAGCTAAGATTAAATACTCTTGCTGAAAATGCCCTGCCAGAGGTAGGTCCTTCATGTCGAGCTCGCTGGGTGTGTCTGCCCCTAATTTAGTACATGATCAGTACGAGGAGCATGGCTAAGTCGCCAAGTATTATTTACACCTGAAATCTTCTAGTACAAAAGTCCATCCTCGACTGCAGTAAAGTAGGAATGTACTTTCACAAAGATTATCCTCGGCTGACTTAAAAACAAACAAAAATCCGATTCACCTGCTAGGCATAATGTTACCTCTATGGATAGAATCCACTATGCATACATTAGTTGTTGCTATGTCTGACAAACCTCTGGCAAGCTTTGAGTAGTCAAGAGCATCTTTTGTTCAAAACATATGCATACTATTAGTAAGCAGAACTATTGCGTCGAAATCGGCGTCGTTGCCATGCGCACTGCAGGCTGGGCATAGGGGCATAGGGTTGACAAAGCAAGAGAGAGAGAGAGAGAGAGAGAGAGAGAGAGAGAGAGAGAGAGAGAAAGAGAAACAGACAGGCGAAGACAGAGAGTGTGGGGGGGGGGGGGAGAAAGGGAAAACCCGGCCCACCCACGCTCCCTCCCCATCACTCGATAGCCCTTTCATTATATCCACCTTGTATTAAAGACTGGTGCCCCCTCTCATGACACTGATGCCCTCCAATGGCTGGAACCACACTAAGCCACTGGCTGAAATTCACCCATAAATTATTGATATGACTGTATAAAGTCTCATTGAAAACAAGTTTGAAATGATTTTATAATTACTGTATAAAGGTTTGATTGAAAAGCGTTACAACGGATTTCATAATGATTGTATAACGTTTCATAGAAAAGATTAAAATTGGTTGATCTGTATTGGTAAGACTGGGTAAAGTTTTATTGAATTGAATTGAATTTAGCGAGCACGCATGGTGAGAGCCCCCCCCCCCCCCCCCCACATGCATGCCCTACATAGGCGACGGGATGGTATACTTTACAATAACTTTACTCTTGTAACATTACTGTCATTAAAGAGAACGTTCGATTCCGGTAAACATGTACAGTAATAATTTGATCTTTTTTATTCATTTTTGTATCGAATTGAAAGAAAAAAGATGGCTCATCATGTCTTATGTATTAATTAATCAGTCTTTCCCATTCATTTTGCTTCCAAACATTTCCTCTCACAACAATAATCGCTTGCCAACAACTTTATACATCCATTGATCTATGGGAATAAATAATTATTACTAGAAGTGTACAATCTCTTTGTGAAAATCGAAATTTCAAATCTACAAAATGTAGAAAAGAGGAATACAGGCACAATGAAAAACGATAGACACGGTTCAATATACTAAACAAAAGAAAGCAAGTTTATTACATAAAGTGCTGCTTGACATGAAATTAAAAACATAAAGACACAGTATATTTGTTTGGGGAAAATTATAAACTTGGACATATGGTGACAAGATAATATAAACAAATCATTCTTGGATATTACTATGGTCAGAGAAAATTATTTTAAAATAAAAGGTTAAAAAGGCATTTGTATGCTACCCTGTACACATTTAATTTACAAACCGATTATGTAAGCAATCCTCATGCAACATTATTTAAATGTCGTCGATGTTAAAGGTAGAAGCTCCACGGAATGTCGAAAAGTATAAAAGTAAAGAAAATGTCTTCTAGGGTTTCGTGGCTTCTTTCACTTCGTATGGAGCTTATATCCCTTATATAAAACGTCTACCATCAAAGTGGAAAAAATAAAAAGTAAAAAGGATTATCATAATCCTGATTATATAATATTAGAAAATCAAGGTCATGTATATCAACTCCTTTGATACAAAATAATATGCATGCACATTGCAAAAATATAAAAACAGACCCCTAAGAAAAAACATGTATTACAAAATACATAGTAGTTAGAGTATGTGAAATAATCTCTAACTTTATTTTCTCTCTTTACACATCTGTAAAATCAATTTTGAAATAAAAAAGTGAATTCATTTGCGTTTGAATTAAAAATAAATAGTTTTGGCACTGAAAATTAAATCAATGTAAACTTATAAATTTCATTGAGAAAAAACATATATTAGGATATTTTATTCACCTCTTCTTCTTGAAATGAATGCGACTTGACGAAAGTAGCTTGCTTAATATTTCATAATGAAACATTCCCTTAAAACTATTAAAAGAAAGAGGTTATCGTAACCTTGATATCAAAACAATGAAACAGTAACTTCTGATATAATAATTTAATCATGGGTTTGCACTTTGTGGGCTATCTTTTGTAGTCTATAGAATCCTTGCAATTCTGTAGAAATAAAAATATTAACAAATTCGGGTTTGTGCTCACATCAGCTTTTCTTACATTAACTTTTTTTAAATACCCTGGATCATAATTATCAGATTGATTGATACACGTTATGAATCATGAGAAAATAATGTCATCTTGTCCCCACAACTTGTTCAATAATTGAAGAAAAAATGTATAGTATAGACCAATGCAGCTATTTACTCGATATCTATACATTTTTTCAGAGCCATTTGAATAAAAAGAGACCAAATAAACGATGAACTAGATGGTGTATGACCGCATTAAGTTTTGATTGAGATAGTGGACATTCCAGCAGAGCAGACCAATAGCCCACGAGACCGACAAAGTTGGTTGAGTTTACCTTCAGTCCTCAGAAAAAGTTGTTAGAAGCCGTCAGACCGACATATCGGCCTCACGGGCCGTCGTTCTTGTGAACCGGGCCTCTCGTAATGATTCAAATCATATTTGCATAAATAAGTGTTGATGGGTTCTGAAAGAGTCATAAACTTATCTTGAACCTAAAAACATTTTTACTTAATTAATGCAAAAGCACCTTTTCCCTCTCATGATTGTCTTTAAATGACAAATAAACAATATCTCTTCGTTTCAAGAGGACTTTCAGGTACGACATTACAATCATTGTAAATGTAATATAAGAAATAATTTCATTTATGAGATGGTTTCCAGAGGCTTGTTGATCTTCAATTATTAAAGAGACGACGTTGTTTTCCTTCAAATCAAGTGGACATAAATATTGTTCCATGATGGGTGTGCACGTCTTGATGACGCAGGAGTCTCCAAGACCTCGGCTGAGTGATGGAAAACATCAGAAATTCATTTCCTCAAATATACTTTCGAGAGTGATCGAAGATCATCAGTATCAACTTGAAATGGAAAAACATTTCCACAAACTCCTTCTAAATTTATGTAACCTTGCTTCCGTCAGTCGTCGAAAGCGACGTCTCGTCTGACGTAACAACTTAGGCAACTTACGCGCTCGGAAGATCAAGGAATATTATCGGACCACTTCGGCAAATTCCGGCAAAGAGTAGAATTACTCTGATGACCACACACAAAGGATAACTTTCAGCCAGACTTTCGTGCATAAAAATGAAACAGTCTTCCTTCACTTTTTAAATTCCTGATCCGTCTCTCTGGATGAAATAATCGAAAGAGTTGTTGCAAGATGATGAGCGGCATTTTACAGAAAATTAACATAATTTGTATAAGCAGCATGCAAAAAGATTTCTTTTCAGTTTTTATCTGTCTGTATTCGGTAGCTCGATGTTGACTGGCAGACGTGGCCACGCTTTCCAGCTGATGACGTAGAGTTATAATGTCTAGGAAGGTCATCTAAAACCAGTAAACATCCTTGTTGGTTTCATGCGCGTCTATCGTGCTACCTGCAGTTAAGAAATGAAGAGAGAGAAAGAGAGAAGAAAAAGAATAATCACTAGACTTCTATTGATTTAGTACGATAAATGTACATAATTGTAGTTCACATATAGTTCAATAAAAAGCAGAAAAGTCATTGGAAGATCGAGCTGTATATAATGAGAAGAAAATGTAAGTGAGAGAAGGGGAGAAAGCAAAAATATGATAAGAAAGAGAGAAAGTGAGAGAGAGAGAGAGAGAGAGAGAGAGATGACGATGATGATGATGATTATGATAATGATGAATGGATGTATGGGAGAAGGGGAGAGAAGAAGGAGGAGGAAGGAGGCGAAGGAGGAGGAAGAGGAGGAGGAGAAGGAGGAGGCGGAGGAGGAGGGTGGGGCCGGGGGCTATAATGATCACAAATGGCGTCAATATTTATTGAAAAGTAGTTCATTCCCTTGAAATTCAACAATTTGATTGCGATTACGATTACAAGGATTGTTATCTACACTTATGTATGCCTCTCTTCCAATGCATACGGCTCATTATTCTGAAAAGTTGAAGGCGAATAATGTTATGGAAATTTTGGCTGCGGAACATTATCTAATCGACTTGAAACGAAAATGTTATTATTAGATTAGTTTTCTTTCTTTCATTTACTTTTTTGTTGCTGTTGGGGTTGTTGGATAATTTTACCAGAACATAGTCGACATATTCATGTGTTCTTCCCCCTTAGAATTCGCATTTATCGAGTGAACATCCCTTTAATACTGATAATCGTAAAGTGATGGTCTCCAGTGATAAATAATTCTTAACCTAGAGCCTATCATCATTGCATTGTTTGTCTATCTTTATGTGTCCACAGTGGTTCATTGACTCGCATGCGTCGAATGTTTACCATATTTCTCGGGTATAAAAAAAATAAGTGTTCTGTTGAAAAGCTGCCCATAATAAAACCCTGAAAACTCCGCCTGCAGTCCGCTACAAGCTGTCGTCGCTCACTCTCCGCTGTTATCTCGCCAGCGGGCGATGAACCCGGTTCTCCCCGCGTGCGTCGGCGTACAGAGTAGAAGGCGTGAGGGTATACAGCCTACAGCGCTTGGGCTCTCGGGGGAAGCAAGGGGCCGACGCACGAAACAGAATGAAGTGTAATTGTCGTTCTCGCGGGAGCTTTTGAAAAAGGGGCAACGTTATTTTTGATAAACTGCGTTTTGTTTTTCTACCCGAGATAGTAACCCGCAATTGTTTCAAATTTCGAGAACTATTGCATTCACAGCGAAATACGAGTCTCATTTTTCATGTTTTTAGTCTGCAATCATAAAGGGTTTATGACGTCGATAGCTTTTCAATATGTTTTGTAACTAAAGGGAGAGGTGTTATGAAAATGTCCATCCTGAATTTTTATATTTTTAGGGTTGGGGTAGGCCTATATAAGCTTAAAGTCCTTTCGACTTAGTAAAAAAAACAAATTCATATTATTATTATACAGAACATTATTTTTCATTATTTCAGTCAATTTTCTAAATACAGACTGCCTCCACTATAAAACACTTTTCATGACCACCTCCTGTCCCACACATAATTATGCCTGATGAATTCAGTTTCATTTCTTGTGCATCATTCAACACCTTTTCGTTAGCCCTGTCCCTCACTTCTCGGCTGGAGCCCCCACCCACCCCGTCTCTTGCATCAATACTTCTTTCTACACACGTTTGTTCTTCTTCATGATTTCTTCACATGACAGCAAGTCAATTTTCCTCCCATATAATCGCAGTTCAGAAAATTCTCGCATCATCTCACTCGTGTTCAATCTATACAGAATTTTCAATAACTTCATAAAGATGCATTGCCCTAATACTCTTATGCTGTAAATTAAAATGCCCCTACTTTTTATCAAAAATAAGACATCTCTCTCTCTTTCTTTTTCTTTTTCTTTTTTAAACTTTCTTTCTTTAATTCCGTCTGTTCACCCTTTCCTCCCACTGGTTATTTTTCAACTTTCCCTCCCTACATCTCAATGAACCGATCATCATTCTTTTGTACCTGTTTATTTATTTTCTTCTCCGTTAATATTCCTTCTACACCTTTACCGTGCCACCATCTAATCCCTGTATTCACCCGAACAAAAAGCATTATGTAATCCTGAGAATATTATTTTTTCTTACATTATCGTTAAAATATTATCTGGTTTAAATGATTTATAACAGATTATGTAAAAGCTAATAAACCAGTCACACCCTATATCCTAAATCAACTTATCAATCTTTATCAAAGCAACAAATCCTTCCATGTCCAATTTTAATTTGCACTAATTTTGCATTGTTCTATAGCTTCTGACAAAAATTGCGTTGGCTCAGACTGTTTGTCTGTTTTTACATAAGGGCCGCATACACCGTAATCACAATAATTTTTCTGCCACCCAGGAATATATAACCATGGCAACGACCAAGACTGTATGAGAAGTTGAAGAAAGGTGCATGACTAACAGCAGCGGTATGCAAATATACCTCTCTGAAGAACAAAGTCCCTGACCCCCCCCCCCCCCCCCACACCGTCAAAAAGAAGACAGAAACAAGACAAAGACAAAGAAGAAGGAAAAAAAAGAGGTGATTAAAAGTAAGTCAAGGCCGTCTGCAATCTGGTGTTAAAAACGGAGGTGTAAATGGGGGCGCGTTGTTTCAAATTATCGAAATTAAAAAACGGGTAACAAAAGAAGGGGAAGGTGGCGGTGTATATCTTTAGCGGAGTAATATTAGTTTTGTAGGGAAGGTGATGATGGGAAGGGAATGGTGGGGCGAGGGCGGGGGATTAAGGCAGTGATGAGGGATTTACTGATTGGACGTGTTCACAACTCATCGAAGAAGAATCAAGAACGGTGATGTAGTGTGGCGTAGCGATGTGTAAAAGGAGCACCACCTCCTAATCCAATGGAAACAATAATGAAATCTGATGGAAAAGGTAGTAGTGGAAGTAGTAGTAGTAGTAGTAGTAGTAGTAGTAGTAGTAGTAGTAGCAGTAGTAGCAGCAGTAGTAGTAGTAGAAGAAGAAGAAGTAGAAGTAGTGTAGTAGTCGTAGTAATAATGAAATCAATTATTTTGCTGCTTGATTTATATTTTAAATATGTCAAAAAAAAACAAGAAGGTATATACACAAAAGAGCAGGAGAGGGCCAATCAATGAACATGAGTAGCACTATCATAAACCCTATTGAAGCACTTTTCCGCTGTCTCACATTTCATACACTTAGTACCCCAACTCCACACCCACCGCCGCCAGTCCGCCACCACCACCATCATGACTGAACAACGCCACTGTAGCCAGCTACATGTCGAGAAAGATATCCGTTCCAGGAGGACAAAACATAAAGGAATAATCAATATAAACTCGAAAATCCAAAGAGTCCAAGTTTGGGCGATACGATATGTTTTGGTTGTGAAGTTTTTTTTATCTTACATACAATAATTGTTACACAATATTCAAATAATGACAATTATCATTATAAAAGCTATATAGGGCTATCTCAAAGAATGTTCAAGTACAGATCTATTACCCTGTCTTTACCATATGTTACTATATCTTACCAAAATATGTTTCATGTACTACAAAATGACATTAAGACTCCTACTTGGGTCTCGAACGACGAACACTTTTGGTAAATGCTCCTGTGACTAGACCACTAGACCACAGGACCCATGGACATGATCCACTTATATATTTCAGCCTCTGTTTGTCTGGTTCTTGAGAACAAAACTTGGAACTGGCCATGAGTAACCTCATGTGAAAAGATATTAAGATCCACACAAAATATAATCAAACAGTATTGATTTACGTTATATCGAAATTAATTCCATAATATAGTAATATAGATAATAGTTCCATGATACATGATCACTGTCTATCAAGTACATTCTGTTGCGTTATGTGAGGGCAAGCCCAAGTAATTTTGACCCATACGTTACCGACTACATCATGATGGCCTATGACTCTATTGATAAAACTACCACCGTGTATAGCTTTGATCAGGCGAAATATCAAGGAAAATTACTCTTCGATGTCAATTCTATTTTTTGTTATTCCATAAATGGGACAAAAATGACCAAATATTTGGGACTTGCCTTTGAACACTTCACTTAAAAACACCGTAGAACGTTCCATTTTCCTTCCGCCCCTTGTCCTATTCTCTGGCGACGAAAACGGAGAGAAAATGGTAATGAAACCAGACAAAATAATCGCAGTTAATTCCAAGGAGCTTGCTACCCGGATTAGTGTTACACTGATACGGTAATGTAATAACACTGATAGGTCTGTCTGATAAACTTCAACGAGATGACAAAGATACCTGTCAGCACAACACGCAATGTTGCCAATAATAGTGGGCCCATTCCCATTGTCACTTTTCTCCCCTTGATACAGCATGGTGAATATCAAGGGGTGGTGTCACCTGCATGTATATATTCAGTAATATTCGTGTTGTATCGCGGCGCTGTATATACATAATTATGCGTGTTTGCCGATATTCAACCATAACCTACTGAAAAGTGGTGGCAGCGGCGGGATATATTGTGTACACATTTTAACTAAATTCAGTATTATCGAAGGTAGCAAAAGTCTTAGGAGTAAAAACAAAATGTCCGCATATCCTGATTAATTGCACGATAAAATTCATAGAAACAGCATTGCTAAATAATTGTAAAGAATATTATACTGTGTATGGATATAACAATATTAATAATTATAACAATAAAGACGGTGCTTATAAAGCACTTACCAACGAAGTATCTAATAATTAAATTATTATTTCAAAATTAGTAACGATTTAGGTGTCAAATAATTGTTACAATACACACAAAAACACATCGACTTAATCGAACTTAATGCTCATCTTCATCCACAAAAGATAATTTATCGAACCCCACACTCTTAAAAAATAACGATTAATAAAAAAAATCGCAACATCACACTCAGCACACATCGACTGTTTCAAATGAATTATGTAGGCCTCTTCAAAAATTTAAGGCTCTGATAAAAGTACAGTGGCTGTAAACCCTAAATGGGACAGGTCGGAGTTAAATAATTTTGAAATCATTTTTCAAATAATTTACTAGAATTAAATAGAAGAAAAAAACGGGATAAAAAAAAATCAAACTAAACCAAAACACAATGAGCACGTGACATTAAAGGTACTATGTCCCTTTTGCAGCCAACCTCAAATAGAACTGATACAGGAATTGATGAATATGTCATGTATGTCCTATCTGTGAAATTTAAACGTTAGCAGTGTCCTCATATTCAAATTATGCAAGGAAACCCGTTTACTTGCTAGACTTCATTGTCAGACACTATTGAGTGACGGACTGGCTTTTTTCCTTCTTTGGTAATAACTTACATGAAAAGAGTTGTAAAGGGTACACGAGCCTTTGTCTACATCAATAACCCACTTCTTGTGATGGCCAAGATTAAATTGATTGAATCTTTGCGCAGCATAAAACGTATTACCATTCGGTACAATTGTCTGAAAATCAAGACTATTACTTTTGGGCTCTATAGCCCTAATATCGATTTGACAACTAATAGTCTTTATTTTCCCACGTGAAGACATTTTCAAGCCCCACCTTTTTTTAGGGAAGTTCTAAATAAGTATTATCTTTCAAATGCAGTTGGAATTTAACTTTTTCATTTTTTGGGCCTGCAAATGGGACATAGTACCTTTAAGGGGGAAACGGGACTTCCAGTAACACACAATGGGAACGGGCTCCAAGGGCAGAGAAAAGCTGGCCGGTAGAGCATCTTTCATCATTGGTATTGGTAGGATTATAAGATACGTTGCCAGTAAATCAATTTAGCTTCTTCCAAACTTTGGACATCAAGAACCCGATGAAAGTTTACCGAGATCAAACCAAGAACAATGATGTCGCATTTGCAAAGAAGAGATGGAGAGAGGGAAAATGGAGAATGGGGTAGAGATACATATAGGGGATTAGGGAGGAACAGAGAGAACGATTGGGTATGTCGGGAGAGGAGGGAGATACTAAGATATAAAACATGGGAAGAAAAAGAACACAAAGACGCAGACATACGGAGGGGGACAGACAGACAGATAGACAGTCAGACAGACAGAACAAGGAACAAACATAGAAAGATAAACGGATAGACAGACATAATATGAGACGGACAGACAGACAAAAAAAAGAGAGAGAGAGAGAGAGAGAGAGAGAGACAGACAGACAGAACAAGGAACAAACATAGAAAGATAAACAGATAGACAGACATAATATGAGATGGACAGACAGACAAAAAAGTGAGAAAGAGACAGACAGACAGACAGACAGAATAAGAAACAGGCACATACATGAATACAGAGAGACAGACATACTAGTAAGATAGAGAGGGAGAGAGAGACAGTCAGACAGCACAATCAGAAAGAGTCACAGTACACATGGAGAGAGGGTCTGGTAGAGGATAGAATAGAACCAGAGATGGGGCTTTCACTCCACCAGGATTGAATATGAAGGTTATCACGAGTAGGGAAATAGACAAAAATATAACATATTCTGGAAGATAGAAGAGACAGAACATTATTGCGCATCATTATTACGGAACGAGAAAAGGAAAAACAAAAAGATTTTGGTTTCCTTGTTAGACTAAAACGGTGTTTTGCAACAATTATAATGAAGAGACATTTTAATTCCTTTAAAAAATACCCTATACCAGGACCCATTGGCCATCCTTAGCAAATATTAATACGTTTTAACAGACCCTACAAATACGGCTATAATAGAAAATTTCAAAGAATAAACTATAATTTTTAAAAACAATAGCTAACTAGATAACTAAATTTAAAAAAATATATAAAAAAACATTTTGGAATCATAATTATAACACATTATTCTATAAATATAGACATTCACTCATAGGTTTTCGCCTTCTTTTCATCTCCTTCGACACTCCCCTCTCCCTCTCCCTCTCCCCCTCTCTCTCTCTCTCCCCTACTGTTCCTCAGACAGCCATAATCACCTTTGAATACCTGTGATTACAATTTTACATTGTTATTGACATTATATTCATCTCCTATCCACCCCACTCTCTCTCTCTCTCTCTCTCTCTCTCTCTCTCTCTCTCTCTCTCTCTTCCTTCTGACCCATTACTGCATACCTGTGATTACATTTGTCATTTTGACATAGTTATTGACTCCCTATCCCCCTATCATCAAAGCTTATTCAATCACGTCAATTTGTAAGGGGATAACCCTTCCCCATTTCTCAATAGTTCGTTTTTCTTCCCCTGGGGTTAATATTCCTCTTTGTTTTGTATACTTGAATCCCATTGGTATTTACCCTCATTCGCTACCGAACTAATGGTTATAGAGCGTTGATATATTCCATTATACAATACATTCCACGATATTATTGAGATATATTTTGTGCACAAGATAATGGTTGTTTTGTCTATTTTGCATAGGAAGTTTACACGTTTTTTCTACAATTGGAAAACGGATTTTTTTTTCTTCCCCCTTGGCATTCCGTTGCATTGAAATATGAAAAAAGAACACGAAAATATATTGAAATGAATAGATTCTCGTAAATTTGGTTCTCAGGTGTATTCACAGTCGCTCGGATAATGCATGGTGCTAGAGTAAATATACGCTTTTCATGGTGATTTGCACCACCATCGAATTACGCACACTACAAAGAATCTAATTAAATCATAATGGTTCAGAATATATTTTCAGGCACCTCCTGACAAGAGATGTTGAGGGCTGTCAATTCCCGAAGCCATTTTTTAAATACACATTTGGTTTATATTATTCATCAGAATACAATTCAACATATTAAGTGCAAAATATATAGGTGTCCAACAAACAAATGAATCTGTTTCTCTCTGTTTCTCTCCATCTCTCCCCCTTTCTCTCCCATCTCTCCCCTCTCCCATCTCTCTGTTTATCTTTCTCTCCCCCCTCTCTCTCTCTCTCTCTTTCAATATCTCCCTTTCTCATCTAAATATCTACCTTTATACATTTGCTATCAATTTGGACCCATATCTAGCTAGATTTGTTTCTATCAACCAATCTATCATTATATCTCTGTTCTCTTCTTTCTTTCATCTGTCTCTAGATCTCCATTTATTATCCTCTCATTTCCCAGCTCTCCCCTCTCTTTCTCTCTCTGGAAAATGACAGCCACCTTCCTGGGCCGCCATGGCCTGCACCTCCCGGAATTTCTTACGAAACAAAAATGCTTTTTAAGTTTTAACCTAAAATATGCAAATTCAAATTTAAAGGTACTTTAATTCTGTTATGTAAGTTGTATTAATATAATAATAAATATATAGCGCAGCTTTTATACAAATTAGATTCAGCTGCGCTGGTTCAGAGCTCCTTTCTTTTTTCTTTCTTTAAAAAAACAACTAAATTCTACACAAATAGAATCTCTCGATTGAACAAATATGTTTTTAATTTGGATCTGAAGACATTGGCAGATGAAGAGCCTCGATTTTGGATTAAAAGAAACTTTTAGAAAGAAAACAGCAGATTGACGTGAGAGTGATATCGTCAAAGGCACTTGATAATGTGCTTGAAGAATGTAAAAAAAAACATAACAAAATAGCAATTTTGAAGTAACGGATTCGATATTTAGATTGAATTTGTATGAAATTTAAGTCAATAGGTTCTTCTGCAAATCTTGATAACGTTGAAGTGCCTCTTTTTTTATCTTAGAGTTTGAATCCTTCACTTTCCAATTTCCCCTCAAAGTATTGCCTTTACATTATCCTCAGTCATAATTAGGCCTAAATGAGGTTTACTGAGATAAAAATAATTATCCTTTTATTTTCAAATCAGTGCTGAATAAAAACGAATCCTTGGGGGTAATTTATATGTGGGCAAGTACTGGATATTTTGTCCCACACGTTTAATGACTACGACAAAGATTTTAATATACCTAGGGGGTGTTTCACAAAGACCAAGATCGACTTAGTTGGACTTAACTATGGCAGGCCATTCATGCCACTGGTTGCTCTCACCATCGGTAATATTTTTCCTTCAATAATTAACTATCAAAAAAAGCTAAATTCTGTAGATTTGCGACCACGATTTGTACGTCCCTTGAGAAACCAATGCCAGGAATGGTTAGAGGAAGTACTGGCATGAACGGCCTGTCATAGAAGTCCAACTTCATTCTATTTTAGTCTTTGTGTAACACCCCCCCCCCCCCCCACCCTTGGACAGCGTTTAACGAAACCGTCATGAGTCCAAATTTGTTGACATCTTATTGTAACATGTTGTGATGTCGGTGGCCTTGTACTTAAGAAGGTTCGTGAAATGGCGCCCCGACGAACTTAGTTTGTTAGTTTGTTTTCCCTGACTGCTAAGAAACCATGTGTTTGCTTGTAATTAAGCAGCCAGGGTATCGACGGCTTTTAAGTCCTTTCCGAAGTACTTGGTAGTGAGGAGTAATGCCTTACCAAAGGGCACTATAGCGCATCGACTTGGTTTCGAACCAGAGACCTTCCGGTTACGAGACCACTGAGCCATCGCGTCTGATCTTAGCTTGGATCAGCCCAAATATCAAGAAAAACGACAGTTTCATTATTTCTGATGTTCTTATTACAGATTTATAGGCTAGGATTCTTGGTAACGCCTGGGACACAGAATGGCCTAAATAAGCTACCTGGTACTTGACCCTGGACAAGTCATCAGTGTGAACACAGGGCTGCGTAAGTAGGTCATGACAATAGGGTGCTGTCAAAACTAAAGGGGCTTTCACAATAGAGTTTTTAACTGTTTAAAAGTGTTTAGTCTTTCTGGATCTTTGGTGGCTTTTATCCTTATTCATAGTGTTCATAGTATTTGTGGTATTCATCCACAGAAATAAATGAATGAATTTAAATGTTCAAATGAATGAATTCAAAACTAATGTTCCAAATAATTTTCATGTTAATTTTATTGAATCAATACACTGGTTATCATTTCACGCTTTACCTGACTCAACTGTATATGACGGTGCCTCTGTCGTTGATTGGTGACTATGAGGCGTGTACGTCGCCGGCCATTCGCCCGTCGTCGTTTTCGTAAAGTCACACTGACCCGGTATCGTCGGCAGCCGCCCCGGTCTTACCGAGGGCTGGATGAGTAAGGAGCTGTACCGCGGGCTGAACGCGCTTCCCGGCGACACGCCGTAACCCAGCTCGTGCAACCCCGCGTGATGGTGATGCGCGTAGGACGATTGGTGGTGCGCGGGGAACCCGTAGTGCCACGCCTCTGCCTGCTGGTGGTGCATGGAGGCGGCTCTGTGGTGCGCGTGGTGGTGCATGGTGTACGAATCGGCGGCGGCCTGAGCGGCGGTGAGGAGAGACGACGTTTCGTGGTGCGTTGAGGTGCTCGTCTGGTACATAGGGTTGAGGTGCATGTTGTTACTGTTGCTGTTGTTGGTGTTGCAGTTTGTCACGTTGCTGTAGAAATTGGAGTTCCAGAAGGACGGTGGAAAGCTACGCTTACACATCGGCGTCGGTGGACACCCTAGAAGACAGAACGAAATACAATGACAACATTTCACCTACCATAATTTCGATTGATGAACAAAAACAATTACCCACAATAACCATGATAACCATAAAAAACGGATTGCAGTAGTCCCCAACGAAGACGTCTCCAAGATTGTCTGCAGGAGGGTGGGGGGGGGGGGGCGCTTAAAATGTTTGAAAACCGTGAGGATGCCGTAACACAGACAGCGCCAATTTCATGTTAATTTTATTTTATTATAGAAGGACTGGGAGGGGTTCACCTATTATCTCCCCCTTAAATGAATTTGCCTGACAGGTTCACTGTCTATTATGAGTTTGATAGAAGTTTTAGATGAATCTCAAAAAATATTTAGGAAAGCATCGTGAAGGTAAGCCAATTAAAATAGAAGGTTACCCAACATATTTTACTAAGGTGACATTTTTGCTCCGGGTTTTAATCGTCGTAAGTTTGCTTCTAATGTAAGAATTGACCGAAGATTCCACCTTTGGAAAACAAATATTAAGGCAATCCGTCCTCGAATGGCAGTTAAAAACCTTGCCTCACTATATGATATGGATGCTGTCGTAATAATTAGGCGGGTAATTGGGCGATCTTATCAGGTTTACACATTTTATTACAGTGGAGCTGAAAATGGGGGCATAGGTGCCTTTAAGGTTTATTTTCCTTGTAGTCATAATTATATGATATAAAAGTGATCAAATACATTCATTGGAAATGAAATTATGCAATCATACTATAAGTTAAAAAGACAGTGCAAATATTTGATTTACTGTGACTATCTAAGAATAAAAACACAATCAATGTGTCATCTTAAATGCTTGGTAAACACAGCAGGGATGCGTGAATCAAACTGATCATTAATCTATCACTCGCGCCTCCGGCTGTTCGACGGGAAACCTCAGGGACAGTCCCCCGCTAGCTTCGGCATGTGCTACCCGCTACTTTCATATCTCCCCAAGACGAACCTTAAAGGTAGGGATCTGTTAAACGTATAAATAAATAGATCTGAACTGTTAAGCTCAATAGCCAGTTGAACAATTTCACAAACGAATTATTTGTTTTTCCCTTCCAGAGTTCAGCTGTAAATTATCGTAAGCAGATTTTACGATTTATATAATTTAATTGGTCACCATGCATGCAGGTTCTAGCTTCCTGCCCATATGCAGGACGCACGGTAAGCCTCAGGAAAAATTGTTTCGGGGTGGTTAGGAGTTAACTGTTTTATTGAATTGTGATTTAAGACAGGGTCGGATCCACGTAGCGATTATTCCGGCCCGGCCCCCCCCCCCCCTAGCCCCCAAAACGATAAAAAAAAAATAGGATAATAACGTAAAGTTAACCTTTATAAAACAAAAAACAAAAGCGCCCCCCCCCCCCGCTTATTCGCCGGCCGGCTGAGTCGGCACTAAATTTTGTATCAAGATTTGGCTACCCCCCCCCCACCCTTGACGCCGTCTGGATCCTCTGCAGGCGCGGATCCACGGGGGGGGGGGGGGGCTGACGGGTCAACAAAAAAAGAATTAAAAAAAAATTCTTACGAATTAGGTGAAAAAAACAAAAATAGTGGTCTCACCCCCCCCCCCCCCCCGCTTATTCACCGGCTGACTGAGTCGGCGCAAAATATTTCCTGAAATATTTCCAAAAAAAGAGTGCCTCCTACCCCCCCCCCCCCCCGCTTATTCACCGGTGGCTGAGTCGCGACTAATATTTTCTCACGGATTGGGCCCCCCCCCCCCCCTCTTCCCGCCGGCTGGATCCGCCACTGATTTAAGAGATCATAACATTCTAGTAATCGGCTTACTTCGAACCTTCGGGGTATTGCGTCTGGTCGGGTGGTCATGCGACATTTCATCATAGAATAATGCAATAGGGTTTTTTCACAAAGTATAGGGGTACATTGGACCAGAAAATGTGTAAAATTGTGAGGGGTTAAGTTCACATTCATTACCCCCGACATTTTCGTTAATTAAGGAGCGTGTTTTCACAAATGTAAAGGTCGTTTAACGCGACCTCCCGACCCGACGCGATGTCCCGATGAATCGGAGTAAGCCCTAGTAATCTGGTCTGTAATAACAACCTTTTACTTCAATTAAAGCCCCAATGTTAACATAATTATGTGATTTTACAGGAAGAGTTGTTGTTTTGTCTGTAAGTTTGTTTGTGTTTTTATATAGATCACGATACAATAGACTTTCAAAATCGATTCAAGGGCGATGGTATTGCCCTGAAGAAAATCGTTCTTTCAAGTTTTCCCGTCCATTTAAAACAATTTTCATTCAATTTCATACTTTTTTTTTATTCAGTTTCGACACGAAACTTAGTATTAAATCTTGCACATAATTATCATAGTCAAATTTGTCTTTGATCACTCACTTTTGATCTTTGTCCAATCAATTTCATCATTTTCCATCCAATTTTGTCAAAGTCATATCTAGTCCGTCATCTTTGGCTGCCAATGAATAAAAATACATTAATCAATTTGATCATAGTCAAATATGTCTTTGATCACTCATTTTCGATCTTTGTCCAATCAATTTCATCATTTTCCATCCAATTTAGTCAAAGTCATATCGAGTCCGTCATCTTCGGCTGCCAATGAATAAAAATACATTAATCAATTGCGTCATTTTGCAAACCATTTCGTCAAAGCATCATTCAAATTCGTCATTCGTTCGGTTTAAGGATTTTGTTTCGCTTTGTCTTTTCAGTTCTCCCTGGAAATTGCTTTGTGAATATGTTTGAATATCTTTCCTAAACAGAGTAGGTACGTGCTTATTCATTTCCATCACCATCAGAATCATTCAATGGAGTTCTTCATCTGTTTGTTTCACATTCTTTATTTGGGTTATATATTGATTTGCCCAGCGTTGATCATAATGATGATATGAGTGAGCAACAATACAAGTCAATCAATTTTATTAATGACATAATCATAAATACAATGCCACAATTTGTATTTTTATAAAAGTAAGATATATCGATCTCATGCTAGGAAAAATCAGCTTTTGGAAGAAAAAAACCCATGTTATTTTCATTTCTCTTGTCGAGAACTGTCGAGTATGTAATATGTCTTCGTGTATTTCATTTCATTCATGGAAGAAAAACTGTCCGTGCACCTGTAAATTTAAACATGACTTTGTGTATTCATTATTTTTTTTAAATATCTTATTGCAATTTTAAGGAGACATATTATTATTTTAAAAAGTATCAGCGTTGCCCTTGGGAGAATTTTAGTTCAATATCTTGTTTATGCGACAAATTTGAAGGAAATTGTCTTGAAATATTATTGATTGTACAAAGACGAATTTGATTATTACCTTCTGCAGCGGACCGCCAAGTGAGACGAAATCGAATGAAATCTGACGAAAATGAATGGAAAAGTGTTGAAATTGATTGACTATCTTGGGTGACAAAATGACTGAATTTACTATGACGTTTTGCACGATCCTGGATTCCAAGAACGAAATTGAAGTGCAAAAAGATAAATTCGAATGAAAAAAATTAAATGGACGAGAAATCCTATGATAATTTCATTCTTGTGATGTTCGCATATGATGATGTACAAAGGGTTGATGTCTTTAGTTGAATTTCGGCAAGTCTTTGCGATCGCATTACTCCTCTATGAGATTCCGATGTGAATGAGAAAAAGTGTAGTTATAGAATTGGTATGAAACATTTTAATGTTTTAAAAAAAAATGTAATACGGAACATGAAATTCATCACGATGGTATGTACATGTAGGTTTATAACCTTTCATCTATTCACCTCGACAGAGATTGCAGACCCAGATTTCTACGTGAGCAAAGTGTCTGCTCCACTTCTTATCTGCATGAATTATGAAGAAATATTTGAACGACACCCAGAGTGATGAACCAACGGCATGCTTGCTTGTGAGGCATGATTGAAGAATTTAATTTATGGCACAAAACATGTTCACTTTTATACCTCAGTCACAGTGCCGAACCGACTCAAGAACGACTCCAAACTGACTGTTTATTTTTCTTCCATTGAGGGTAATGTAATTGTTTGCTCGATCTGTTGAGTCGTTGCGAAATTTTCGGCGCGATTTTCGCATTTGAAAAACACCCCCCTCGAAAAAAATCCTGCGTACGCTACTGGCTGTCGGTCTCGTTCATGTGACTGAGGTATAAGGCGTAGGGGAAGGAGGTGGGTAAGTAGGAGCATGTAGCTAGCCGACCCTATACCATATATTCGGGCAACCGTCGTTCAAATTTAGGCAACTTTCATCAATTATTGTATCATAATTGGGCAACCATCATCTATAGAGCAGCGACGTGGAGTTTTTGTATTTTATAAATCTCATCCAAAATAATAAATAATACCTTTGTCCCTTTCTCTCTTGCATTATTCGTCTTTTTATTTGCTTATTACAGGCTGGTCGTGACTGCATGTGAGGTCTATCATACCGAGTATTATATTTCCATTTTCACTTTCATTGTTCCCCAGAACAAGATGGGTGCCACTTTCAATTACATATTATGTTGTGTATTCGTTGGGGGCGTACTATTTTGACAAGCATGGATTGAATAAAGGGCTTGTAAAGGAAAGAATGAAACAGTGCCCCCCCCCCCCCTTCACGAAATGATTCAGAACGACTAACTTAATTTTTGTATTTTTAATTAATATTTCTCTCTCTCTCTCTCTCTCTCTCTCTGTGTTTGGTTGGGGGTAGGGGATAAACAACATAACAAATTACAACAGCAGTAACAACAACAAAATAATGATCAAATCATTTACAATATTTCAATGTTTCCCATTATTAATCATCTGCTCGCGAAAGCACATGTCCGTGGGTCAACAATACCCTGCGTGTGCTTCCTGCAAATCACGATGTAAGAATATCATATCTGGAACCAGGTACTAAAAAGACAGGGTATCATTTCCAAACATGAATTCATATAAAAAGTTTAAAAATCGGCAGACTGACAACAGATTTATGTCCTTCCCCTTTCATTGAGTACGTGCTCCTGTTAAAACTGCCCATTTATCAGCCCCCCTCCCCGTTAAACGCCCCACTGATCCCGCTACATGCATAATTTATGGCCGGTCATACATAGCGGATGATTATTGATGTGAACTACAGCTTCCGTGCTCACAACCACTGTGATAACGGTTTAATAAACTTGTTAAACTTTACCCAAGATACAATGTATTTTGTACGAGTGTCAAAATAGAGAGGCTGTTCGCGCAGACTAACAAAGGAAAACCAATGGAGGATGGAGGATGGAGGATGGAGGATGTGTTTTGAAGAGGAATCAATTAAGAAGACTGAATAAAGATAATTATGAGCTCGAACAAGAAAACACCGAAGGGATTAAAACGAAGATAGTAAAATAAAGGTGAAAATTTAACTATAACTAATAAATGCAATAAATCGTTTATAATCAAAGTGCCCCCAGGTCTATACACCAAAGATTTTTTTTCCATTTCTTTTCATAGCGCGTGTACCATAGCAAATATAGCCCCCCTCGGCCTCTCCCCGCCTCCATCCCATTTCAAACCCCAAACCACTACATCTCTTGATCATGTTGATTGATCTATATATGATTTCTGTAATATATATGGATCGAAAGCTTTTTGCAAGATTTCCATGTTTTTACATCATTGTTTGTTTAAATTTCCTGAACTGATTGAGAAAATAAACTCCTTTTGATTAAAGAGTCATACAAAAGTCGACTTAGTCACTTTGTGGATTTTTACCTGTATTGTAGTTTTCATCTTTTATATTTCAACTAATTTGTACCCAAGCACTCTAAACAATTTATTTGTTAATACCAAATTCACCCCAATAATGATTATAAAATATTTAAAAAAATACTGACATATACTGGAACCCCGCAGTATTCGATTACTCTAGTATTCTTTCTCGTCTTTAAATAATTTCTATTTTTATCTCGCCGCCGTCCTTCAGTAATTGTTTAATTTGTTTATCCTGGGGCCGTACATGCATATAAATTTATACTTAAATGAGATGGAGTATCTGCGATTATGTTACAGAGCCAAACAATAACATTCTTCACCTCTTCCTCCATATATTTTTCTCTATTTTTCTCTTTTGCACTTTTGCACCCCTTCGAGTGGCGCCCGGGGCACATCCCCCGATCTGCCCCCCCCCCAGATACACCACTGTCATTAATCATTTAAGACTGAGAACAGACCAGTGAGTACAATAATATCCCCCCCCCCCCCATTTTTTCTTCAATATCAGTAAAACATAATGTTTAAAACTTACCAGTGCTTTTACTTGGCCAGTTTGTGTTTTCTCGTCCGCTTTCACTACTTCCATTTTGGTTGCTCAAGTCACTACTATTCATTGTTCTTTCTTTTTCAACACTTTCCTCCGCAAAGGTACTTTGATGGCTCAGTGAGCGGCTAAAATGTTCATCCACTATCTTGTCCAAATCACCGGAGTAGAAAGTAAAGATAACACAATGTGAATTGACATAATCTGCTTCAGGTGCGGGGTCCTTGTCGCTGCCATTACCCGATTCCTCCTCCTCCTTTACACCGAGTGCAGAGGATGTCGTCGCGAGAGATGACGGCGTGGAATGCAACGACGAATGCCCCGAGTGGCCTTGAATGCTACCTGCGCTTGCCCCGCTGCTGTGGCTCCCCACGCTGCCGTGCCCCGTGTAGTGTGTCGCCGTCGCCGCCGCCGGGTGGTGGTGGAAATGATGATGGTGCGGGTTGGTGGTGGTCGAGAAGGCCGAGAGGCTCGGCGTGTGCGATGTCGCATGATGGTGGCTCGACGTCGAGCTGTAGTCCACTGCCGAATCAAGTCCCATCGCCTCCTGCATCTTGTAGTGTCCGAACTTCTGCAAGATGATGGAAAAGAAATGTCATTTGAAAGCCGTTTCTCTGCATATCCCTACCGGCAAAATACTCCTCTCCAAACTACATTAAGAGCTCTTAGAACCTGTATACGCAGTACGTTACGTAATCGCATCGCGTTGAAATGATGGTTGAGGGGGAGATTGATTCTCCAGTGTTGTCAGTATTTCATCGTCCGTTTCGAGATGACAAACTTAGCACGCTACACGCATCCCTGCCAAAAAAAGAAACGCCTGGAATTTCTTTTCAATTTATTGAAATTAACAATAGCGTATAGCAGGTGCCCGACATTGCACAAATACCAGGCATTCTTCGCTTTCCATGAATTATGAATGGAAAACCCTTGACCTTAAATCGTCAACCTTTTTTATGCTAATTACAAATTTGACAGTGGCTTTTTGATAAGTTTCTGAATATTCAAGGCAGGCAGCTTCACATCAGTGTAAAGTTTATATCCGTTATGCAAAATTTACAAATTGAAACAATTAAATTTCATTACGTGAGATGTCGTTCTTGAAAGTTTTGTTAAATGTTTGAAAATGGAAAGATTCATTCGTGAGATACAGAGAGCGAAACATCGAAATACAAAAAAAAAAAAAAAAAAAAAATTCTCGAAAAAAGCAGGCGTTCGAGAGCAACAGAAGATAGATATATACTAAAATGTGTAGCCTCAGCACGGAGAAAGCAATTACTAGCTTCCTAAGTAAAGGTCGCTTGTCATGTTTATGTGCTGTCGATAATCATCTCGCTATCTCTCCTCTAATCGTATTCAATATTTTGACAAGCATAGCCGTCATTCCGTAGACTGAGCATCGCAACAAACATCGAATAAGATCTCTTCCGTTATGTTACTGGTATAGAGACGAACATGAGATGCAAACGATGTAAAATCTACATGTTAATATGCAGTTAACAATAAATTATTAATATAAAGTATCTTTTGTACCAAGTTAGTGTTGTATATGTTTAAGTACGTGAAAAATTGATTTGGTATCTGAAATTATTCAACAGAGGCCCTTATTCAACCAGTCCACCTTTTATTCTTGCGTTACGAAAACCACACACACAAACAAAAATCAAATTTAAAAGGGGTATCATAGAATATTTTATAGGAGGAATTAACTCTCCGTATAAAGTTGGCTTTGTGCACCTTGTACATGTATTGGAAGAAGACAATCAGAGAAACGTCATATAACATAATGTTTCTATAATATTGGTTTGCATGGACAAAGTAAGAGAAAGTTATTATTTTCGCTGTGTTCTGTTGAGAATAATGATTTAGCGATGAGATGATGACATCTAATAAAATGAGAACTTTTCCGATATGTTTTGCAACCAAATTATAGATTCCCCTTTTAAAAATATCTGATAGTAATTTAATTGCCTTGTCAACGTATATTTTATGAATGATTATCCGATCACAAAAAATAACACTATGATGCTAGGGGCTATATCATTGTTATGCTTGTTACTTTCAGTATGTTTTCCTATCCATTTCATGTTTTTATAATGGTTAGTTTTTTTAATGTTTAAATTTGTATTTGTTTGAAAGGACTTCCTCATATAAGCCTAATCATACGGATTTGCAGAAGACAGCCTTCTTTGCTTAATGTATAATCTTTACCGTGAATGAATATACTATTCAATTTAATTAAATTCAAATCAAATGAAATCAATTCCTCTAATCAATTCATGTTGCTCGCCTTTATGCTAATAACGTAGGAAAAAGAAAACAGCCCGCACGAGGCAAGATAAAACGCTTTTCCTTTTTATTGCTCTTTTTTAAATTGAGCAGTAAAATGTTTCTTTGACTTCCTCTCTTCAAGACATTGATTGCTTTGAGTGGGACTTGAACAAATAAAAACTAAGTGGTGAGAACAATGCAGCATTAACACATCTTATGTTTGATTTCTGGGCATCTACAAACTAACTGAAAACGGAAGACAAAAGCTGCAAAACCAGGCCGCTAACCCGTGGACTCTGCCGTTGTATATCCCAATGGCGTATATATTTTCCTTTTCATTTACGTAAATTGATTGAGTATCTATACAAACCCCCGTTAAATTTTGATTTTGTTTATAATTCAGACTGGTACCTTTGACTTTCTTGGCCAAATGAAGTGCCCCTTTGATTAGAATTCCTTATAACTTAAGCTGATAGATGAGGCTATATACCCACGAGTCACGAGTGCGCATTACTTGGAGTAGGCCTAACTATGATATCAGAATGATTTAGGACAACTTGACATCATCTTGGGTTTTTTTTAGCATGAAGTCTGGAATTATTACAAGGCACTAGTAAAGGCACAAATATTACAATACCAATTTCAGCGATTTTTGCGGCCTCCGTCATCAAACTGTCAACGCTTTCTCAAAAGATTCCAATCTGTAGGCCTACAGGCTACAGGAGCTGTATTTTGTTTCATAAATTATGATGCCTTTGAAAAAAATCTTTTCTTGCAGTAGTTATGTATTTCAATATGTTTATGTTAACCGATGTTATGGTGTAAAGTACTATGCAGAGAACTAAATCATAAGTATTATGCGCTTTACAAATTGTACGTAATTATTATCAATTTATCATATTACTTAACTTCGATCTAGGTATGCTAGATCTGTTGACTCGGATTGAAATTAGTTGTTGAAATATAGTAATAACCATCGGACACCTTAAAAAAAAAATCACACACGATTTATCTTCATAATTATTATCACCACCCTACCACATCCATAATCACTACCACCTTATACAATCACAACCACCATCACAAACTACAATACCATCATCATAACAACTACTTATACCACCACCACCACCACCATCATCATCGCCGTGACTAATTATTATCATCATCATCATCATAACCACCACCCAATCACCACCACTCTCATCAACATCACTATTATCACCACCATCATCATCAACATCTCCACCAAGTGTTACCACCACCACCTCCACCATTATCATAAGCCTGATAGTTACCTGTCCAAATGGTCGTTGGTAGAACGGATACTGGTAGGGCTGATACGTGCCCTGGTACATGACGTCCAAACAGCTCATGATGTCGGTCAAAGAAGAAAGACGATCACGAACACGACAATGTTAACCCGGTGATGTCGAGTGGTTTGAAGTCCTGCAGAGTAGTGTTGAAACTGGAAGACGATTGTGAAAGTGACTTCCTAAAAGGTCAACATTTATTGAAATATGACAAACGCAAATATAGTTATCAATTTTCTATAAAGTTAGAAAAAAATCATCCGTTTGCCGCCATGGAATTCGCTGTCTCCAGACGTAATCACGAATCTACAAAAAGTACATTCATGGAAATGCTGGTAGTTTGCTCAAGAAAGTACTGCTTTCAACGAAGTCCTTTGCGATGTTTGTAAACTTTTATAACAATTCCGGCTTGCAACCTTATTCATAAACTCTCATCTGCTTACAATAGTCTTTCATCAATTCAATTGCGTGACAACATTAATCCATGGAGACCACATAGGGTTACATTACCAACGTTTCGAAACGACTAGATGGAAAATGATGATATCTTCTGTCAGTGGTAATTCCAGAAAACCGTCTACTCCGGGTGTTTAATGCCGCAAAACAGTTTCAAAATCAGTGACTTTCGAACCTCCAACGTGCGATTCTGTGTAGTTTAAGATGCAAAAATCGGCGGGAACTCACTCAACAAAACGATTGGATGCATGAACGGTATATCCATGAGAAGATGAGAGCATAGGATGTCCCAGGGAACCTGAGGATGCATTCGATGCTCAAAACAATGGTCGTTTGTCTCTAAATATCATGATATTCGATCGAGACTGTCTTAGGTGGCTTCAACGTTTATCAAAACTGGGGGCTGGAATCGAAATGAGGTTGGAAACATTTGGAATATGTGACGCGATACGGAAAAATGCTAAGTGCAGGGGTAGTGATGTTTCGTAACGAAATGATGACTATTATCTACGTGACGATGATGGATGGCCGTTGAACATTACCCATCCCACTTTAGCGATTTGTCTGGAGAATTATGCTCGAGATAATCTCAAAACTGGTGGGGATTTCTCAGTAATTTCTGGGACACGACTGTAGAATGCAAGACATGTGAGGGTCTGTTACGCGATATGACATATGAATTCGGAACGACGACGAGCGACCGCGAACAACTTCCGCGGCGAGACGGCCCGCTGAGTGGATGACAGGTTTATGAACTTCACTCGCGTGCTCCGTCAATCTCTCTCTCGTGTGTTATGACCACCCTCATCCTTGGCTGTACGTTCTCCTCACTGGTCCCCTTCTCTCTCTCTCCTCCTGCTGGTCTTTCACACTGCGTCCTATCTTCCAAGGATCGGAGGCAGCTCGCCTCGGATACAGGGACGAGTGCTTAGCGCAGTTGCCTTGACACGTCTAGGAGCAGAAACAAATATCAGGCATTCTTCAAGGCGCTCTTAGAATTTCCTGAATACAGACGACAGGTCTTGCATGACAGCCAACAGTTTGTCTGGTAGCGAATGTTTGTTTATAGGCCCTACCATTATCACCGATTATCTTTTGTGATGTGCTCCTCATCCGTAAAAAATTATCGAGAGGTGCTTAGTGTTGATTAATTTTTCATCGAATTATAAGTGTGTGTTTTAAATATAGTTTCAAGGATGAAAGTGAAAGAAACAAATTTTTAAAGGTTTGACTACAGATTATTTTTTTTTATTAAAGTCTAGAAGGAAGACTGATTGATGTGTTAGAGGATGAATCTTTCCATCTCTCTCCCGCTCTCGGCCCTTCCTCCCCCCCCCCCCCCCCCCCCCGGGGCCTCTCTCTCTCTCTCTCTTTCTCTCTACTCTCTCTATCTGTCTTTCTGTATGTCTCCTCCTACTTTTTTCTCCTTCTCATTCTCCCTTTATAATTACATTCAACTTTCGCTTTCTGTATTGACTTTCCGTCTTGTCTTGTCAACCCCCCCCCCCCCCCCCCCTCCCTAAAAAAAATTATCCGGGGATAGAGACATCAAACAGTTAACTGATCTTCCTTATGTTATTAAATGGTGTATAATTGCATTTCCAGGAACATGAAAAAGTGCAACTATAGCAAAGAATACAAGAAAAGAAGGGGAAGATTTTCTGGGTCTGAAAACAACCAGACTTCGAGGTGGTCATCCTCATGATGGACACCTCTCGGGATCGGTCACCTTTGTTTACATTCAGTCTATCAGGTATAGATTAGAGATGCTTGCTGTTTGGCAAGTACCATTTCGTCTGACATGGGACATCCCAGTTGACCGACGGTTCAAGAGACCGAGTATGACAATTCTGGAGGATCCTCAAATAAAAGTCTCGTAGGCTGTCGGTCTCGTTTGCTGTCGGTTACGTTGGCTGTCGATCTCATGGGATGTCAGTCTCATGGGCTGTTAACATCATGGGTTGTCGGTCTCTTGGACTGTCAGTCTCTTCGGGCCTTCGGTGTCGTACGCTGTCAGTTTCATGGGCTTTCGGTCTTATCGAGTTGTCTTGTCTTGTCAGCTGTCGGTCATCTGAAATCTGGATAAGCATGAAAAGGATGGACATTACGATCAGGGAATCCCATCCTCGTCGACATGGCCTATGAAGGGGGCACAAACTGGTGTCACGGGGGCACCAATTTGGTTAAATAATGCAAATTTAATAACGAACAAGGCCGCTGCAGGGAGGGGCGTCTAGGATGGTATTGTATCATTTTATTGTATTGTTGCCCTCCCCTCTCCCTTTATTTATCTTCTTCCCCCCTCCCTCCCTCATAATTCGAGTGAGGGGTACGTGTCCACAAGCCTTCCAACATGTAGCTACGCCTACGGTACTGAGGCCACCCGGTAGCAAGAAGGAGTAGAAATCTGATAAAGGCTCATTTTGAAGCAGTAACGGTAGGCCTACACAAAATGCTATATTGGGAAATATTCAATGGTTTCAAAAGATAGCGGTACAAATCCAGGTATGAAAGAGCATCACGCTTTTATAGCACGAAATAATCTACAAATTTAGAGATAAATTAATTTTTGAACTCTACATAAATTTCCGCATTAAATGCAAATCGTCGATATACCTATACATTCAGATATTTTTGTAATAGTATACATATGCAATAACATTATTACAGATCAGCTTTGATCACAAACCAATAAGTTATTATTTTTATTTATTCACAGCAGAATTTTCAACCAAGTCTGTGCTGGTAGACAACGAGTGGCCATGAGTGGCCAGTGATTTATGAGTGTGATTGGCGTATAGGGCGCGTGTCTGATGGTACCGATTGCCTGAATATGGGCACCGCCCTGACCCCCTGTAGGGTGTCGCATTTGCACCCCTACCATCAAAGTGATTGGCATCCGCATGTCCACAGTAGCGGGTGTGATGTATTTCGTCATGGCCTGTTATCAATAATTATTTTGTCGATTGCGTGTTCGCATTATTTAGGAAGATTAGATGTTCAATAACCCCAATGTTTATATTGTTCACCAAAAAAAAAAAGGGCGGACACGATGTAAACACGATCGTGTAGACTTCCAAGAAATCAACTAAATTGCTAATTAATTACCCAGAGCTATAGCTTATGTAAGTCTTGTTCGGATTTCTATTATTATTTCCGCACAGTTAAATAGGCAATGTAAAATGCTATCGAAATCGATTTAGAATACGATCGCAAATACTTTCGAAAAATCAACTCAATTCGATTTCAATCGGCTTGTCAATCACCTTTTGAAACGTGCGAACATCGCAATGACGTATTATGTAATCTGAACATGATTTCTATTTGATATACACTAGGGTATTGACATTTCACTGTAGATGATTTTTCGAAAGTCTTTGCGATCGTGCAGTAGCTGTCTAATCAAATAATTGTTGAAGCTGATTGGTTAAGTGCAAATGGTGTTTTCATCAGCGCAGTAAAACGACGTTAAGCTGTTCATTGAAAATGCACAACAGACTATCTATCAGTTTGTCGGGTAAGAAAAATGAAATGAAAACTCCTTTGAAATTGATAATCAATGTAATTGTGCGTTTGACAAAAAACATAATAAAATAATTTAAATTCAATGGGTAATCGCGTTCATCTCAGACTACTGTATGGTATTGCATCCAAGATCACAAATTTTGTGTAAAAGCAGTATCTATACCCAATAGTCAATAGTCATTACAAATTGCTGTATAGATTTTTCTTTGAATCTGATATCACAATGTTAATAGGATTTTGAAAAACGAGAGAATAAAATGTTTCATTTCATATCAATATTCACAACTTTGGGTAACTCTCAATTGATTTTCTTTGAATTAGGAGGGACGTCTTGAATTGCGTTTGTGATCTGTCTGGTCAAGTAAGTTAACCCATCCCCCTTTGTGCGTTAATTGTCAATCGCCACTTACATTGTTAGTGTGGCGCGAAAAGTAAACTCAAGAGGTAGACAGATCAAACAATGACGGGACAGACCTGTTCACATCTGAATATATTATTCGATGTTAGAAAAGGACAATTACAAATTCCCAAGGTAATATGAATTGGCTAAAATATGTAATATAAAGTTTCCCTAAACATGATAAACACTTCTTATTGACCTGCGACATGTTTTGTTTGTTCGTTTGTTTTGTTTACCTGGCCTGTATTCTGAAGTCTGGTTTAAGTTTAATTTCTAGTCTAAACTTAAACCTAAGTTTAAAGTTACACCTGAATTCAGAATACGAGCTCCTGTGTCCATGAAATGCCCTTATTTTTGTTATTTATTTATTTATTTATTTATTTATTTATTCATTTTTTTGCATTCATTTTTCTTTTTCTTTTTTTCTTTCTTTTATTCATTTTTTCTCTCTCTCCATTTATTATCATTTTTTGTGTGTGTGTGTGTGTGTGTGGGGGGGGGGGGGGGGGGGGGGTGACATGCGGGGTGTTCCCATCCCGTGGTTATCTTCTTCTCGACATGTATAGCCTCAGAAATAAAACATACCAGTGGGGCATGCTATATAACAAGTCCCTCCCATTTGACACTAGTGAGTATTCGATATACATGTAGCAACAATATTTAATGGGCAATTAATTGATAAGATCAGTAAAGGAACCTAGGATAACCAGACTTAGTGTATCCCGCAAATAACTGTTCTCGCAATGTTGATTATGAATTCTCTCGGATGCCAAGAAAAAAGTGCCCCAAACAAGTTTTGCTCTTGATGTGAGGTCTTCCATGTGGTTATACCGTATTCAAAATGTAAGCTTCAAATATCCCTTCTACAAAGAGACGTTGCAATTTAATGATATCAATGTCACTTCTGTATCGACACCAAAAGAACCAGGGAAGTCATATTTACATACGATCGAACACCAAACAACGCGATTTGCTACCACAATTGCTCGATACTTACAATGCGATAATTGCAAGAGTAATATTTGCTCAAGACCCGAACGACAACATGCTGAATTTTCGCACCACACTTCGAAAAGTGAGCACTCGAAATGGAGAACCCGGGATAATAATAGCTTCCTATTTGTATTGTGATCAATGCGGACATAAATAAGGGAACATGAATTTAGTGATCTTCGTTGGGGTCGTTTTAAGGGCCCAGGTGGGAGGGGGGGGGGGGTCGACTTGAGCCAACAGATATACCTTTATCGGGAAATCGTTAAGATGTGGACATGTCCCACCCCTCCCCATTCTTTGCTGGTAAAC